AGCTCACCACAGTTGGGTTCACCAGTTGGTACCAGCATCTTGAGTGTGATCACTCGGCTGTGACAGCTTGTGGCTTCATAGCTGGGAGCCCACTGTGTGGGCGAGTAGTGCTGCACTTTGTAAATGATTCAGCAGTCTTCTGGAACTTGTGACATGTCCCAGAAGACTGTGGGAGGGAGGAGAGCATTCGCTTCTGATCACCTAGGTGGTCTGAGCAGAAGTGGGAGCGGGTGGCTGCCAAAATCGGGTACACACTTCCCCTAAACTCCACAAAGGTGCCAATTCTTAACAGGGAGCGGGGGAAGAGTCCTTAAAGTTACTTTTGGGTGGAATCCGCTTTAAGTGTATTTTTAAAAGCAACAAATATAAGTTTGAATTTGATATGGCATCAGAGATAACAGACATGGAAACTTCAATCTGCTGCTACTTATTCATTGTCTAGTCAGAGGCTGAGGACAGGCACAAGACCTGGTAGTATTACTTAAGTTCAGTAGAAAAAATCTGGTCTCCAAGCTGGACCTACTGTATGGCAGAGTAGTGTAAGTCTCAGGAACGAATAGACAGTAATTTAACTGTTTACCTACAGTTTGACCTAAAAGTATATTGCAATGCAGCTTTTTGGCCTTGTCTCACTATCTTGTTAGATAGGACAGGTGTCTATAACACTGGGGGAGTAGGGGAGGGGAAGAGGCATGGGAAGCTACTAGCTAAGTTGAGCATAACTGAACCAATCTTGTAATCTTCTAAAAATAACTAAAAACATGCTAGGGCTAACAATCACATGTACAGGTATACAGTATATTTAAGTAACTATACATACTGTATATCACACTGCGCCTAATGTATTATACTCTTAATGAATAATATTATTTTGCAATTCTCATCAAAGAAAGTTAGTTGGCTTATATAAGCAGTAAAGACAGTTCTATATAGATAAACCAAGGTACATTCCCATAGATCTCCTCTAATGTAGTATGTCATATTCATTATGAGACTTAAATTGTATGGAACGCCCTTTGGTACTCTATAGGCATGCTTTAAGAACGCATCAGCATGCATACAGTATTCACGTTGAACTCACTATACATTATATAAATTGCAGTGCTTAGGTATTATTTGTACAACATACTAGATCAGGGGTCTCCAAACTGTGCCCAAGGGCTGGATGTGGCCTTTGCTAGCCTTTATCTGGCCCTTGGGGCACTCTTCCTCCCAATGATGTGAAGTACTATTCCTCCCACTGACACCAACAAAGGGACACTATTTCTTACACTGATACCAATGATGGGGCATTATTCCTCTCATAAATACCAATGATGGGTAATAACGGTATTAATGGAAGGAATAGTACCCCATGTTTATTTTCACTGATGCTGGGCCTGGAACATTCTCTATCCCCATTGATCACAATCCGGCGCTCCTAAAGTTTGAAGAGCAGTAAACTGGCCCTTTGTTTGAAAAGTTTGGAGACTCCTGTACTAGAGTAAAATTAAAATAATTTAGTAAGAAATAAAATAACGTGACTTGAAATAAACCAAGAGCTGCGAATCATCATTCAAATTATGATGTCAAGGTATGCTGTTATATATCCTTACAGTTTAAAAGTAGTTCTAAATTGCTACCTTTGACTGAAGCTGTTCTTGTGCAGTTGTAGAGTATTGCCAGTTCTCCGAAGGTTGTCCATACAGGGATGGAGGTTAGTAGTTTATTTTGCTGGAAAACTTCTGTTTTACCCTCTGTAAAATATATAGTGATTAGACTTTTTTGTATACAGAAACAGAAACATAAAAAAAATGACAGCAGAAAAAAATTTTGATTTTCGAGTTGACTGTTTTGTTTTTTTTTTGTCTTTTTTGTAATTTTGTTTTCATTAACTTTTTTTGTCTGAGTATAGAACTATGTTTGTCCCAAGCATGTTTCAAGCCATTTACTGCTGACTGGCTCACTAACTCTGCTGTAAGTTTATTCCAAGCATCCACTATCTTTTTAAATTAGTATACATTTATTTATTTATTTATTTTTAATAATTAGAGAATAACTAGCATTGGCATTTTAGGGGAACTAGTATAAAGTAAAGTATTTCCCAATCTAGGTTGTGCTGAATAGCTCTTTTAGCAGTAACAGTGAGATTGAATTTTAGTGAATGAGTGTGTTAATTGATAAAAGGATCACATAAAGAGTAACTCAACTTTCGTTGATAAAAAAAAAATCTTTGGGTGATCAATGTACATTTCAGGGATTTTAAAAAAATACCTTTTTCTTCTCTGCAGAAAAAGCTGTTTGTTCCACTATGTTCTTTAGATACTTATTCTAATTGGGAGGGACTAGTTCATTATAATCAGCTGAAGTACTGTTAATATTCTGATGAGGAAAGTTGCAGTGACTGTATCCCTTTAGAAGTAATTAATCCTTGTAGACTGTCTCACCAAAACTTAATTGACAGAGAATGCACAAGTGTAATTCTAGAGGATGCCCAAAATTTGAATTGTATCTTAGTGTAGACTTCTGAGAAAATCAGCGCAAGCCAATCACATACACAGTAAATGACTTTTCTGGGGGCATTCTGTACAGGACACCCCTAGGTTACCATGTTGCTTTAGATTATACAGAAAGTTACAGCTCTAAAGATTGAGAAGGAAATGTAATTTTTAATAATAATAAAATAAAACAATATGGATTGTGTAGCAATTGTATATACTATATAATTTTTTCATGTTCTATATTTTATTTCCAATGAAGTTACCCTTTAAATTATGTCTATAGACAAACTGCAAATGCAAAAAAATACTAGCATTATTTAAATAAAATACAGCATATTACATACACTGCTTAGTGGAATTTTGTAATTATTTTGTATTTCTTTTAAATATCTGGTGATCCTATTAATCTTCACACAGCTATGAAACTTGACAGAGAGTCTTACCCTTTGCCACTGTTACAGTAACTGGACCAAAAGAATATTTTGTTTGTTTAATGTATTGTTTGGTCAATTAGATAGTTACGTAGACTGAAACCAAGTGTGATCAATAATTATATCCCAGTTAAAGACTGAATTCTCAATATCAGTTTTACATTGCTTAATTCCCTCAACATCTATTACTAAAACAATTAAAAGGATATAAAATGACAAGAGCTCCCTACATAGTTTCTAGCTGTAGTCATGCCTACTTCGGAACACTTATCACCTTCTCCCTCTTCTGCTGCTGATTTTAACTCTCAGCTTAAATCAGCTAAGTACATTCTAGCTGCATTAAAACAAAAGGTGTTCAAAGTATTACAGTTCATTTTCTTTGCAAAGAAACCACAGCCAAAATAAAGAAACCTGCCCCATGCCCTGTGCCGGAGGGGGCAAAAGGGGCAACTGCCCTGGGCCCCTGACAGAAGGGCTCCCCCTTTACAAAAATAATATAAAACAATATAAAAAATATGTAAAAAGATATAAAATATAAATAATAATAAAATTATATAAAATATATAATAATAAAAAATTACTTTTAAAATTAGTTTATTAAAGAAGAACTCATTAGTGACCCCCCCCCCCCTACACAAAACACTAAACAATTAATAAAACTTCCATTTAGGAGAAAAGTCTGATTTAATTTTTATGACATCATCTCTGTAATTCAAAAGATTACAGCATCTGCTCTGCCAAGCAGGAAGTGTAACAGCAGGGAGTACATCATATCCTCTCCTCTTGCTCTGCAATAAAAGGAAGCTACACTTCCCATCAACCACAGGGAATTGAAGTGAATGTAAGCTGGCACACTAGGCTTGTACATGTTGAATGTGTCTGAGAGTCTCAGTCCGCCCACTGAGTAGGGCTGACTTACATCACTGCTTTCTGAAGAAAGAAATACAGAAGGGATGTGCCAAGGCCAGTGGCTGGGGGAACAGAAGACATCAGCCACTGGTTTTACAAACAGGAAATGAAAGAAAATGAATTATTTGATTTGAAAATGAATAGGCTATTCCAGAGCAGCTACTGAATGAACCAAAAGATGGATGACATATTCAATGAAAGTAGAAAATCAGCAGCACGGACATGTAAAGAAGTTTTTTCACAGAGTTTCTTTAAATGTATCTTGGGAAATAAGATTTTGCTGGCCTGCTGAACTGGTATATTGCATTGTTTTTAAAAATGAATTTTGCCAGTTCAATCGAACCACACGTAGAGCACTTAAGCTCTTACGTAAGGTGTCTTATGACCTGTGCACATGCATGACCTCAGGATGTTGTTGTGTCTTGCATTTTTAAATGTGTGACTGTCATTGAGAATATAAACAACCTCTGTGTATGAAGGGCCCCCCGAATCTAAAGCGCCCCCAAGATCTAAAAAACTGGCCCTACCCTTGCCAGAAGCTGCTGAATGGTACCCTTGCTGTTTTTGGAGACGCAATAGTCTCATTACAGAGGTCCAAGACATCCCTATTAGGTCTGCAACCATCAAAGGTCATTCTCCCTGCTGATTGGAGAGCTCTGATTATAATGCCACAGGGAGGGGTTGGGCTTCCTTGCTTCCCAATGGAGAGTCCTACTCTGCAGCATACTGGCAGGAGGCAAACTTTATATATGAACTGTAAGATTGTGAAGGCAAAACTTTTTTAAGTTTTGGATTGAGTAGTGAAGGGTTAAAGCCTTGCTTTCACTTTGGTCTGTTTTGGGTGGCAATTGGGAGATTTTGCCCCATTTATCATTGTCAAGTGCAAATCCTACATTTTAGACTTGTCATAACAGCAAGAGGTGAAGGGAAACCTTCCAATCGGGACAAATTTTCTGGTGACAACTGCCCAAGACAGGAATTCCCCTTAAATTAGAGAGATTGCTTCTCATTTTGTAGTGTGTCTCCAAGGCAAGAAGTGAAAGGAAATCCTCCCAGCAGAACACAAACAGTGAAATAGCCTGATAGGGGTTTAAAGTAGAACTATAGGCCAAACTTTTTTTTTTTCATTTTGGATAGAGTAAGGGTGGGTTATAACCCCTGTCATTTTTATGGTCATCTGTGTCTTATTGGGAAGTCTTCACTTCCTCTCACATAGTCAAGCAGGAAGTAAGAAGAAATCCCTCCAAAGTGAGTAAATCCTTGATTGTCACCAGGTTCCCCAGAACTAGTGTCCCCTCTAGTACTGTTCTGGTAACGACCCAAAATAGAGAGGGTGAATCTCTCTAATGGTACTACAGACAACACTAAAAACTTTCCAAAGTCAAATAAGCCAAAAGCTCCTGTGCATCATCGTAGAGGACTGAAGACAGGGAGGTATGGTAGAACCCACATAAATGCAAAATTCGAGTGGCTAAGCTAAGTCTTGCTGCTACTGTGTATGACAGGGGAAGTCAGGAGTAACTGCATGAAAAAATGGAACAAGAGCGCTTTGACCTAGCACATTGTCCCAGATAATGAGGAAGAGGGTTTCCCTCAAAACACGCCAGCCTTTCTTTGGCCCTTGGATGGTACTTCTTTTATGTTGGGGCCCTTGGTGTCATATGGAGCATATTTCCAATGATTGCCATTTGTTATGCGATTTGTCACTTCTTGTTTGTGAGTATATTTTAACTTTCATTCAATAAACTGTTAACTAGGATAATGCACTAGGCCAGAGCACTCTTGTTCCATTTTTTCCTGCAAATACTAAAAACTTGACAGATGTTATAATCCCTCTCCACTTTATCCTAAATGAAAAAAAAATGTTTTTAGTTATACTTTAACTCTTCCTTACTCTATCCAAAACTAACAATAATAGTTGTGGCTATACATGCACTTTAATAAAATAACATACATGAAGAATTCCAACAAGGAGACCTAGACCCCCTTAAGAAAAAATGCCGAACCCCTGAGAGTTATAAGAAACCATTAGTTTATCTCCGCAGCATTTACCAACAACTAAAATATCAGTTTGGGTGGATAAGGCTCTTTAAAATCTATTAAAATGTTTTCATACAAGGTTTAAAAAAAGAATATGATGCATTTGGATATGTCTACGAAGTGCGCACCACTAAATGTTTGCTGAGGTTAGAATTTGCATATATAATGCAGGCACACACAGTACACTGCTAGCTTCTAGATGTATTGGGATACCAAGTGTGGTCTATTAAGGATCCAGAAAATAGTTATGAATACAGCAACTTTTTATGTTTAACAACAGTACTTTATTGTTGGAATCCTGCTTCCATTTTAGTAGATCTGTTTGGTTAAGTCCATATTGAGTGCGGCGTGAAAGAGTTTGACCGCATCACCTGCTATTTTTCTCCATGACTAGATTTAGCCAGAGCTTAACATTTCCACAGCTGAGTAATGATGAGGACAGGTCCATCCAGCATGTGTTTAGCTACAAAGAATATTCGGGTTAACTCACCAGCTAATACAAAGATATGACTGCCCGGTTCGCCTTGCTTTATAATATATTCTCCTTGGGCATATCTTCTTTCGTACATGCATTCTATCATATCCCGGATTTGATGAGGATCAAGTCGTTTTAGAAACTGATTCTTGTACAGTGCATCCGTTATAAGTTTTTTCTCACTTGTAAAGACAAAGAAGGTATAAAAACAACACACATCAAAAATAACATTTCACCCGGTAAGAGCCACAGTGATCATATAAATGGGGTCTTAAAGGGCAATTGGAATATGGAAGCTGTGCCCAAAACAAGGTCAGGCAAAGGGCAACGGAAAAGTCACTAGTATTGCGTGCGGTCTCTCTGCAACAATTTTTTGCCATTACTAACTTATCATTATGTGGGTGTATGAAAGCCACCATTTTGGTAGAGGCAGGGCTTTGCATCCTCTTGTTAAAGCCTCCAGCAAGAACAGTGAGCAGTACAGAAGTGACATCACCAAATCTCATTCCAAATCTCCTGAAACTAGCAGTAAGAGCCAGCAGTGCTTTAGAAACACAGATGTCCGGTTATGAGGCTGTAGGTACAGGAGTGCTTAGGCATCCTTGCAGAGCAAGGAGTCCTGTTTGTCAGGAAAATTTTCAGAAAAAAGACATAACATAGCAAATTTTTAATTTTTGAGCTCAAATCCACTTCAAGGAAATCCTGCCTGTTGCAGTAATGTGCCATCAATCAGAAGATATAGCTGTATTGTAATTCTACAGCAAAGTTGACATTTCCTGGAGTGTTGGTAAGAAAGACTTTTGGGCTGCCTTCAACACCATCCACCCCACCCTATGTCATCACAACATTTCATCAGCATGGAGAAAATTCTAATATGATCAGTATAAAAAGCCACTGCATAGTAAGCTCACTGCTAGGGATGGTGCTTAAGGCTTTATATTATAAAGCAGCGCAATTCTAAACAATTAAACCCTTGGCATGCCAGCCCTTTAAGGAGTTTTTAAAGACAGGAAGCATGCTTTCTGATCATGTCATAACTTTGATTGGCTGTCTCAGCAATCACACGATTGGGAGCCCCTCCCACTGGCTCTTGATTATTAATATTGACCAGAGACTGTCTGTCAGCTCTGTCACTGTGCTTGTAATGCACAGTGAACACACTCTCAACACAGAACAGTGGAGTTGACCAATGCATACAGTGAAGGAAATAAGTATTTGATCCCCTGCTGATTTTGAATGTTTGCCTACTCACAAAGAAATTATCAGTCTAAAAATTGAATGGTAGGTGTATTGTAACACTAAGAGACAGAATAGCAACATAAAATTCAAAAGAAATGCATGTCTAACAAATTATGCACTGATTTTCATGTTCATGAGGGAAATAAGTATTTGATTCCCTATCATTCAGCAGGATTTCTAGCCTCCAGGTGTCTTTCATACAGGTAACAAGCTGAGATTAGAAGCAGTCTCTTAAAGGGTGTGCTGCTAATCTCATTTTGTTACCTGTATAAAAGACACCTGTCCACAGGAGCAATCAATCAGATTCAAAACTCTCCACCACCATGGCAAAGACCAAAGAGCTGTCCAAGGATGTCTGGGACAAGATTGTAGACCTACACAAGGCTGGACTGGGCTACAAAACTATCGCCAAGCAGCTTGGTGAGATGGTGACAACAGTTGGTGCAATCATTCGCAAATGGAAGAGAAACACAAAACAACTGTCAGTCTCCCTAGGTCTGGTGTACCATGCAAGATCTCACCTCGTGGCGTGTCAATGATCATGAGAATAGTGAGGAATCATCCCAGAACTACACGTGAGGATCTTGTCAATGATCTCCAGGCAACTGGGACCACAGTCACCAAGAAAACAATTGGTAACACACTACTCCGACCAGGATTGTCTTGCAATGTCCGCAAGGTCCCTCTGCTCAAGAAAACACATGTCCAGGCCCATCTGAAGTTTGCCACTGAACATCTGAATGATGCAGAGGAGGACTGGTTGAAAGTGTTGTGGTCAGATGAGACCAAAATCGAGCTCTTTGGCATCAACTCAACTCGCCGTGTTTGGAGGAGGAGGAGGAATGCTGCCTATGACCCCAAGAACACCATCCCAACTGTCAAACATGGTGGTGGAAACATTCTGCTTTGGGGGTGTTTTCTGCTAAGGGGACAGGACAACTGCACCGCATCAAAGGGATGATGGACGGGGCAATGCATCGTCAAATCTTGGGTGAGAACCTTCTTCCCTCAGCCAGGGCATTGAAAATGGGTCATGGACGGGTGTTCCAGTATGACAATGACCCAAAACACACGGCCAAGGCAACAAAGGAGTGGCTCAAGAAGAAGCACATTAAGGTCCTGGAGTGGCCTAGCCAGTCTCCAGACCTTAATTTGATTGAAAATCTGTGGAGGGAGCTGAAAGTTTGAGTTGCCAACATCAGCCACCAAACCTTAATGACTTGGAGAGGATCTGCCAAGAAGAGTGGGCCAAAATCCCTCCTGAGATGTGTGCAAACCTGGAGGCCAAGTACAGGAAACATCTTACCTCTGTGATTGCCAACAAGAGATTTGCCACCAAGTACTAAGTCATGTTTTGTGAAGGGGATCAAATACTTATTTCCCTTATGAACATGCAAATTAATCCATAATTTGTTAGACATGCATTTTTTTTGAAATTTTTGTTGCTATTCTGTCTCTCAGTGTTACAATACACCTACCATTTGATTTTTAGACTGATCATTCCTTTGTGAGTGGGCAAACATTCAAAATCAGCAGGGGATCAAATACTTATTTCCTTCACTGTATACTGTATGTGTCCAGCTAGTGTTAAGTCCCACCAGGAGGCTTACATTGCTTCACTGTGGCTACCTTCTGCAGTAAGGGACCAGATTGCTTTATTGTACTAACTTGAGCCACAAAATTCTCATCATAAAAAGATCTTTTATTTTTTGTTTATTTTTGGAGGTTACCATGGACAATCTTTTGCCACTGGTACTGTTCACCTTTATATACCTATTTTATTTATATTATATACTGTATACACTGATCAGCCACAACATTAGGATCACTGGCAGGTAAAGTAAATAACCTTAATTATCTGGTTACAGTGTCATTCAAAAGCTGGTGGGATTTATTAGGCATCATGTAAACATTGAAAGCTTTTTGTTGTTTATGGGGCTGCATAGGCGCAGACCATTCAGGCTGCCCATGATGACCCACGTCCACAGCAAAGAGTGCCTACAATGGGCATGTAAGCATCATCAGAACTGGACCACTGAGCAATGGAAGAAGATGGCCTGGTCCAATGAATCATGTTTTCTTTTACATTGTGTGGATGGTCGGGTGCATGTACGTCACTTACCTGCGGAAGAGATTGCGCCAGGATGCACTAAGGTAAGAAGGCAAGCTAGAGGAGACAGTGTGATACTTTGGGCAATGTCCTGCAGGGAAACCTTGGACCTGCTATTCATTGTTGCTGACCAAGTACACCCCTGTATTCCCTGATGGTAGTGGCCTTATTCAGCTGGATTATGTGCTTTGCCATACTGCATAAATGGTTCAAGAATGGTTTGAGGAACAAAACAATGGGTTTGAGCTGTTGACTTGGCCTCCAAATTATCCAGATTTCAAACAATCAAGCATCTGTGAGATGTGTTGGAAAAACAAATCCGAACCATAGATGTCCCACCCTGCAATTTTCAGGACATAAGGGTTTGCTACAGATGGCTTAAAATGCTGACAAGTCACTGACTGACTGACTAATTATGCAGATCAGGAAAATCAGGGAAAAGTTTATCTACACACCTATTTGGAGTTAG